AAAATTAAAAAGAAAAAATCCAGGGCAGTGGGCAGTGACTTTTTTATTTTTATTAACAGAAACTGATATATTTTAGAGTCTTGATATATTAATTAACTACAGTTAACTTTGTGACTCCAGAAAAAAATAAAAATAAAATTATGGGGCCCTATCATACACTCGGCACAAATAAGCGCCAGGCATGACGCAAGTGGTTTTTGCTATTTTCAGCCCGACGCAGTTATCAGCCCGACGCAGTTATCCTGCACCACGTTGTGTATTTGTGCGCCCATGGACGTGCTGGTCTGAAAACGAGGTGTGTTCAGGTGCATTGTTGGCGTGTTGCTATTTTGATGCACCAACTAAAACCTGGTCAATAGTCAAACGTCAATAGCGCAGTGTGTTTTTGTTATTTAAAGTAGTAATATGCGCCTATAGGCGGGTCCACAACGCGCATACACTCTGCTTATTACACACAGGGAAACATGCCAAATATTAAGAATTAAAGGATTACAATGTAAAATATTATTATTGTGTAGGCTACATAAATAAAAAAATGCCTACATGTCATAATGGATAGTCATTGCATGTATCAGAATCTAGGCTACCCATTTGCTCGCGCACGAGCAGCTCCGTTTCCTCTCTGAAGACGCGTTCAGTCTTTGCTCTCGCAAAATCAGGCCGTGTAAATAGCGAATCCGTCATGGCGCGAGCACAACTGGCTCTTAAAGGGAATGGGAGATGAGACTCTGATTGTTTTTTTTGCATGTTATGACCAAAACACACCCATTACTCATTAAGAGAATAGGGATAACCCTTTTAGACCATGCGCCGAACCGTCTTTCCCATCGTTAAACTAGCAAAAGTGGATTCAGACATGCCCTAAATGCACCTGCGCCTGAGACCATGCGCTTAGATCGTTAAAATAGGGCCCTATATATTTAATATAATTATATATATATATATATATATATATATATATATATATAGTATAAGTATATATTGTCATTGAGGGGAGAAAAAGTGATCTTGATTGTATGAAATTATTCTAGTATAATAAAACATTTTAACAGTGATTGTATTAATATTATAATAAATAAAATAAAATACTCACTAGCTGAACAAATTGTCTATGAGATTTCCTCACTAATATAGTGATGCAAACATGTGCTGTATGTATGATATAAAACTCATGGTTTTCCATACTGTACCTTGCTGGATTACTGTCTCCCCAGCGATGTGTGTGACCGGGAACATGGCATCAAATATGTCACTGGGGAAAAAAAGAGATATGTTAGATTAATCTCTCATTTAATCGTTGGAAATACAAAAACCCAAATTCAGAATTCAGTTCAACAGAATTCAGATCAAATGCGGCATGACCATGTCAACGCTACAGTATCACAAGCTTCTACCCACATTTTCACATATCCACAGAAACGCGCGTGTTTAACATACAAAAGACGGCAAACTAATAGTAAATGCTCATGCTCTGCTCTTTACGAGACACAAACCCTCAAACAAGAAACAAAACCGCACAGCCGTTCCTGTGTGAAAGCAAAGAGTGTCGTAAGTGTTACAAGTTTATGACCCTGATAATGCACTTCCATTCTTTGTGTTTCAGGAGCCACTGGTGTGTCAGTCATTACACATGACCCCTGACTCCATCCCACAATACACCTCTCCGGTTACTGCTGCCGGTTGTAGGCAGTGTTTATTCACTGCTGCTATTGTGCTGTCAGTACATCAGTAGTTGTATTTATGTTATGCTTGTATTTAGCTTTCATTTATTTTTATTTCAGGTTTACAAACTAATAGTAAATGCTCATGCTCTTTACGAGACACAAACCCTCAAACAAGAAACAAAACCGCACAGCCGTTCCTCTGTGAAAGCAAAGAGTGTCGTAAGTGTTACAAGTTTATGACCCTGATAATGCACTTCCATTCTTTGTGTTTCAGGAGCCACTGGTGTGTCAGTTATTACACATGACCCCTGACTCCATCCCACAATACACCTCTCCGGTTACTGCTGCCGGTTGTAGGCAGTGTTTATTCACTGCTGCTATTGTGCTGTCAGTGCATCAGTAGTTGTATTTATGTTATGCTTGTATTTAGCTTTCATTTATTTTTATTTCAGGTTTAGTTTTAGTAATTTTAGCACTTCAGCTTAAACCATTTCAATTAGTTGCTAAGGCAACATTTAGAATTTTCTGTTTTTTAAGCTTACGTTTTCACTTCATATTTATATATAATTCTTAGTTGGTATTTTAGTAATTTTGCTTTTCCCATTTTAATTAGTTTTTTAAAATATTTCTATTTAACTTTCATTTGCTTTTATTCCAGTTTTAGCTTTAATTTTAGCACTTCAGCTTAAATTATTTTATTTCAGCATGCAACATTTATAATTTTTATATTATATTTAAGTTTTTCAAGCTTACGTTTTTCATTTAATATTTATATTTTATTTCATTTTGGCTTTATTTTAAATAGCAAATAAATAAATAAAAGAATAATTTTGGTTTAATTTTAGTTTTAGTTAGCAATAAAAACACTGCAAGTCACACACAAAAGTGTATTAATTAATACAAGTATATAGTGAGCTTAGAAAACACTGGTAATAATGCAGCTAAGCCTAGCAAAACATGTAGAAACAGCGAGAAGTTGTTAAAATGAGTTCCTTTGAGTTCATACACATGAATACAAAAGTAATTGCACGCATTCTACTTCAGAGGAAGCTTTAATGCAATGATTAGAGGCGTTGAAGCTCATATTCCAGTCTTGAGAGCAAATAATGGAGCATCTGGTAGGTGGTCTTCAGTCACAGGCACTTGGTTTTAGAAGTTTACTGAGTGTAAAGGATGTTTATTTAAAAAGTTCCACCATGAGAGCTCTCATCAGCTGTCTGGCTGCGGGGAATCCCCAGCACTCGAACCCATTCACAGCCCCGCGGCATTACCAGATTACCATTTCAGTGGGAGATGATGATGATGGCTCCCTGGAGAACTGAACCACAGCTATTAAAGCGAGGTGAAGTGGTTAAAACAGAGCTGTGAGTAGCCATTAAAAGAACCAGGATGGTTAAACTCAAAGTGTGATGTCAGAGTTTGATGTCAGACGGAGGAAAGATCAGAGGAGAAGTCTTGAGGTAAAGGGAGGAGAAGGGGATTGAGAAGGTGGCTGGTGAGATCGGTCTTACATTTAAGAAAGGAGTGGGTGGGAGGTGCCTGAGAAGGACCGAAAGCTCTTGTAGCTCAACTAGTGGTGCAAGAGATGGCAAGGTTATAGGTTCAATTCCCCAAAGCGGTTCAAAGGTTTGGGTTCGGAAAGATTTAAAAAAAATTTTTTTTTATAAATTAGTAAATAATATTAAATATATAAAATAATATTTTTATTCAGCAAGGATGCATTCAATTGATCAAAAGTGGCAGCAGAGACATTTATGTTGTTACAAAAATATATATATTTCAAATAAATGCTGTTCTTTTGAACTTTCTATTCATCAAAGAATCCGGAAAAAGAATATGTATCACGGTTTCCACAAAAATATTAAGCAGCACAACTGTTTTCAACATTAATAATAATAAAATATGTGTCTTAAGCACCAAATCAGCATATTAGAATGATTTCTGAAGGATAAATTATATTTTAAAATATTTAAAAATGCAAAACAGTTCTTTTATATTGTAATAATATTTCACGACATTGAAATTTAGTACTGTATTTTTGTTCAAATAAATCTAGCCTTGATGAGCAAGAGGCTTTTTTCTCAAGAGAATCTTTTAATAACACGAAAAAAAAAATCTTACTGGTCCCAAACTGTTGAACAGTAGTTTATACATCCGATATCTGGACATCTATGTTTAAACATGTATAGAGATGGAATAATTCTAGTTTAAGTGGGAGATTGATGTAAACACAGATATCGAATACAAGACATGTTGTGTGAAAGCAAACGGGTGGGAGAAAAAAAATGGTCAAAAAAATCTGATCTATGCATTAAACCTGAGAGTCCAAATGCTGTCTTAAAGACAGCAAGCAAATATTTACTAACCAATTCTTGGTAGAAATTAAGGCATGAGTTGAAAGAAATAGGGGAAAAAGCACGAATGAATTTACTTTCAACTGCTTCTTCATTTTTATTCTTTCCAAGAACTGCACACACATTATTGTAGGATATCATACACAACAACCATTGTATTTCAGATGCTGGATATTTCAACCAGCAAAAACACCAACACTGACCATCTTCACCGGATATACAGTACCAGCACCAAAGCAGCACTAACCGGCATAAACCAGTCTTGACCAACATAAGCTGGTCTTTTGAGCAGGAGAAGGAATTAAAAACTGAGGAGGTAGATAGCAACATGAGAAGGAACAGGGGTTTCGTCTGAACCTGTCCATGAATGAGTGGGAGGAGGAAAAGTTGGTGGGTTTGAGTTATAAGAGTGAGAAAATATAAGCGTTAAAAAAACACATGGAGGGATTTAGAGAGAGACTGCGGGGTGTGTGTGTGGGGGGGGTGGGTGTATGGGATTCACCGCAGATTTGGGGTGGGATACACCGAAGAACGTGAGATGTGTCAGTGTGGATGCTGAAGTCACTATGAAGGATGAGTAGGGCACAGCCTTCTGGGAAAAGAATGAGTAAAATATTCACAGTACACATCCAAAAACCACAAACTGATAGAGTGAGTGACGTTCACTGCTGTCCATGAATCAGCGGCTGATCAGCTGCTGGGTGTGAGAGAAAATAGTGTGATAATGTACTGCCATGCTGTTTCATATTTTTTAACAGAATATAATACTTTTTTCATCAAAGACGCATTAAACGGATGAAAAGTAACTGTAAAATACATTTACAATGCTACAAAGTACGGCTGCACGACGAGCTGCGCAAAAAATCGCGCTAATATGAACGTGGTTTTGCGCAGCTCGTCAGTGAACAACGGCTCTGTGTAGTTAATGCTGCTCAATGTGAAAGCCCGCAGGTGATGGAGATTTACCACTGATTACAGAACCGGCTTTCTGACAAGATGCGCATTAAATATCGCATGCGATTTATCGTGCAGCCCTTCTACAAAGGGAATCCATTTTAAAACCTAAAACGTATTTAAGAAGAATAGTGTAAGCAGCACTACACACCCAAATGAAAACAACGCCACAACCGGTGTTTATCATAGCAAAGACAACATATCATATGAATTCCGTGATCGGAGGATGAAAGAGCTGGAGTTTATGGCAGTTATAAGACATCTCTAGCATTAATTCTGATCATGGCTTGTCTTGAAAAACAAAGACAGTTTAACGTTCGTCGTAGGAGAAATCTTATTGCAAGACTGTACAGCAAATCTTCTGACACTGCCAGGATTTCGTCGGAGGTAAAATTTGATCGCAACGCCCATTAATCGGCTGTCTGAACATGTCAAACCAACGATCAAAGATTACAGATTTTAGCCTAGGATTATAGGAATCTTTTAGGATTTTCAAAATTTGTCTCAGACGACCAAATCGTGGCCAAAATCGCACAGTGTGAGCTGGACTTTATTTGTTTAAAGTGTTTGCAAACCAAATGTTACTGCACTTTTGTTCATATAGCACTTTTAAATGAAAAAAGTGCACAATACACTACTTTTGAATTCATTATTGAATTTTGTGCATAATGCGATTAATCGCAGAAAAAATCATGCGATTAATCGCGATTAAAAATGTTAAAGTAAAAAACAGTTATATTAAATTGTAAAAAATATTTCACAATATTACCGTTTTTACTGTATATTGATCAAATAAATGCAGACTTGGTGACTTGGTGAAAAACTATATATTTCTATTTATCTGGCAAATATACATAAATATAATAATGTAAATATAAGTGCAGTCAGAATTTTGACTGATTTGTTCCTGTTTGCCCCTTATTCTGCTCAATAATCATAACTGGCTACCAATCACAACTTGTGTTGTTTTCATGCCATTCAGGGGCATTTATACTTTGTTGAAGATACAAAGCAGAGTATCATATAAAGGAAGATATAAGATGACACTGAGCGTCTGCACAGTGGTCTGTAAATGACTGTATTTGTGTGCGTACGTGTGACCGCAAAATCTAACGAGGCTCCTAAATCATCACCTCTTCTCTTCTTCTTTAATTGAACCTCACTCTTTCAAAGGGAAAGTGTTAAAAGCACCAACATTAGGTCTCCTTTATTTGTCCAGCACAAGCCTGAGCCTGCCTTACACTCGCAAACGTCAAGGAAAAACAGCTGAATGCAAAGGA